CTGGGATGGTCAAAAACGTCTCACGAGTCGAGGGAACTGGTGACAAATGTACTGACCCCTGATCAAGGAAACCCTGCTTGATTTGGCGGTGGGTCCAAACAAGGTCACCAAAATTAGTTGCCCGGTAAGTGGAAACAAGGACTCAAACCTGCGGTCCATATCCTGGTGGATTAATTTTGACCCATCCCCGTTTTTAGGTGTCCACCAAATGATCCGGATGCCCTCTTGATCGGGTCGCCCTCGCGTTGATCGAGGGGCATTCCAAAAATCGGTGGATATCTGGCATTGTTTGGTTTTTTTTTCTTCTGGGTTTTCATGCCCCTGGTGGGACGGGAGGGATGGATAGAAGGAGCACCACTGCTGCATCTCCAGCAGAGTGAAGGGCCCTTGGATCTGGTTCTTTGGGTCGATGTACTGCCAGCCTGACCGACGAAAACACACGCGAATGACTCACCGCAAAGCTTCAAGCGGCCTCACACCTCGTCGGCGAGACCACTTTAGTCGACATTTGGTTTTTACAATAGGCAACCTCTTGGAACACATGAAATGGCAAGTCTCCCGAGTCGGACCTGCCACGCGCGTGCCAAATCTGACCTTCATGCAGAGCGCCATGCGCTGGGGACTTGAGAAGCCGCCCTGCCCGCCTGTTTGTGGGCACGGCTGCTTTGCTCCATGGTGACCACCTAACGGGCGCTGAATCACTGGCCGCGCCTTCTGACGACTCCAAACCGAAAAAATGGGATTCAGCCCACACGGCCGCATCCAATTTGACTGGAGGTCTCCAACGGAGGGCACCTTCCCGCCCGAAGGCGCCCGGCGGCTTCCCTTTGGCCGGAGCTGGGCCGCAAACCCTTCGCGCCCGCCAGAAATACGGACAATTTCGGGGCCGGCGCTCATCGCCACTTTCGGCTGCTGACCTAAAGCGACAAACCCCACACCATCGGTTCAAACCGGAAAAACCAAAAGAAAGCCTGAAGTTGCAGCTTCTGTGAGACATGCGGCCGCCTTCGCAGCCCTACAGAAAACGCTCCCTAGTTTTTGTTGCTGCAAGTTAGGCTATCCGCAATCGAGGGTGAAACAGAAAGACTCGAAAGAAGTCCGGAGAAGACGCGTCGTCTTTGAGTCCGAGCCTTTGGAAAAAGCAAAGTAAAACCTTGCCTGCTGTGCCCTGGCCAAACGATGAAGAGCCCCAACTAGAAGACAGTGTTTTGCATTCAAAGTGTCCCCACTGATCACTCTCCAGCGCTGCAGAGCCAACCTGGTGCCTCTCTGTCTCTGTGTTCTTCATGTTTGTTGACGTCTTGATTGCTGTCTTCTCTAGTGTTGCTTCTTCTTTTTGCCGTTTTGTCTCGTGTGTCTTGTGTTTTGCCTGCTTTGTCTTGCTCGTGTCGACGGTTGCTTCTTTTCTGAGCTGTCCTCAGATCCCCCGCTAAAAGTTTAACGTTTAGCGGGCTAAATGGAAAACCAACCACTAAACCAACTAAGAAGCTAAAAAGCCAAGGAACCGGATGTAAATGGAAAACCAACCACCAAACCAACTAAAAAGAACCAAATGGATGGATGGCCGGGAGCCAAGTTTTGTCCCGACTTCTGCTTCTCTCGCTTGGCCCCCGGCCAGAGATGGCCTGTGCCCGCGCGGCTGCCAGCTGCTGCTGCTGCTGTTGCTGCTGCGTCACTTTCATGTGGGCCTCAGCGAACCAACAGCTCGGCCACCCGCAACGCAAAAAAAAAAAACATGGCTGGGTCAAAAATAGGTAGTACCCAAAATAAAATGGGGCCCTGGTAAATGGAACCAAGGGCTAAAACTGCGGTCCATATCCTCGTGGTTTAGTTTTGACCCATACCCACATTGTGCATGGGTTTTGTGGGAGATACGGCCAGAGCCAACCCCCAAATCAGGGTTAACTGGGATAGAATGCCGCCACAACGAAAAGGGTATATAGCCCATCTAGTTGCTTGGAGGATCTTAGCATCTCCCCCATACGCAGCTCTGAATCTCCCAATTCGCAGCTCTCAGTCTCCCCATGCGCAGCTCTGAATCTCCCCATGTGCAGCTCCGCTAGCATGTGAAGAGACGAAACGTTGACATGGGGAAGGGTCTGAGCCACGGTCAAAATGTCCTGTTGGCCGCAGTGACATGCGAAAGGACGCTTTGTGAGTCCTCTCTGTTTTTTGGTGAGACACTTAGTGCGTCCCGCATGTCCTTCCCCAGAATAGACCACTGGAAATTATGACCAAACCTCGTGACTCTTCACTCTTATCCGTCTTTCACCAGAAGCGAAGGGTGGACATGAGCGACGGGCGAGCGAAGAGAGGATACTCCGGATAATTTTCTGCTAGCGGGAGGGAGATTTGTCTTGTCATTGGTTGTATTGTTTACGAGTTCCATGCAAGTTGTGTATACGTTCTCGGTTTGGAACCTGTTCTTCTCCGTCTGACCCACGAGATAAAGCAGCTTCATTACACAGAACCAGACCACCGAGCCATGTCATTCACTCTTCTCACCATCTACTTCTCGCTTTCACCCGCTTAACATCCCAGGCGGTCAATGGTGAAGACAGAAGAATGAAAGTGATGAACATCTGGCCGCAATTCAAAGCAATGAAAGGCAAGTCTGTCAATCATCCAGTCATATTTTCTGAGAAATAGAAAGAGAAAGAGAAAGAGGAAAGGAGCGAGGGAAAGGTGATCATGGTCAGGTTGGCATCGTTACAATCAAGGAGTCCCCGGCTACCTCAAAATCTCCCATTTCCCCTTGCCCCAATTCCACTTCCAGAAACATGCGTCTCCGGAGAAACCCACTGGGCGCGCTTGCCGCTTGCTGCTCCAGCAGCAGCATCGCAGACTGCTGCGAAAGGTGCTCCTAGCGTTTGGCAAAAAAAACACCTCGATGCCGCAACTCGATCCAAAGACCACGCCTTTGACTAATTCCTTGACGCATTCCAACGCGAGCAAACCCTGAAACGCGGCTAAGGCAAAAACCCACCCACCCCAGCCCCGCCTGCGTCTGAGGTCCGCGAGCCCCAAGCCTCAGCATGAGACCAGCCTTCACCCAAGACGAAGCAAGCTGAAACCTGGTTTGGCTCCACGCACCCATTTCCCCGAGGCTTGGCTCAAAATTGGGCGCGGGGCCCATCGGAAATGCTTGGTGCTGCACTGAGAAGATAACCCATCTTGGTGCCACCAGCTGACACTGGAATTTGCTGAGTGACTTCCCCACTTCCACTGATATTGCCGCTTTCAGTTTCTCTCTTTCGCAGTCCTTAAACCACTGCCTGCGACTTTTTCCCCCGTGTTTCTGGGATGTTTTCGGCCCGCCCGTTTCGGCCCACCGGGCGTTCGGGTGCCCGGCTGCCGCACGGCCTGAGCCGCTGCCTGACGCTGGGCCGCCTCGGCAGCTGGGTCTTACAGGCAGCTGTTTGCGCCTTTTTGTTCCTAAAAAAGCTGGGTGCTCCTTTTCGGCGTCCCTGGCAAAAAAAACACTTCCCTCTGATTGGTGGTTACTTTTTGGGTGTTCCTGTTTGTTTTCCCCTTTTTTACAAGAAAGTGGCCCCAAAAAAAATCAGCTTCCTTCCACTTGGCGGTGGAGGTTTCGAGGGAGGGGGTCCCATTTTTCTCTCTGCAAGAACTAGGGGTTCAAATCCCCAAACCAATCCAACCCCAAAAAAGTGGATCCACAAAAGGGGTACACGACGTCACACGAGCCAAGTGATTCGAGGCCGTTACTTAGTCGTCAGTAACTGTGGCAAAAACCAGCTTCCCTCTAATTGGTGGTTTGGACTTGGCTTGGTGTTCGGTGGGTGGTTTCAAATTTGCCCACAACAAGCTGGGCTTCACAAACCGCCAAAACAGGGCAGCCTAAAAAACAGCCAAAGCCAACCAGAGATCATAAAGTCCATCTGAAAACCGAAGCTCCTGAGAGGACCAATTCAGGCAAGACCAGAAAAAGACACACACCTTTCTTGCTGCCTTCAAATGGGTACCGCCAGGAATCGGACCGCAGGTTTTAGTCCATGTTTCCATTTACCAGGGTTCTATTTTGGGGTTAGCCTATTCTTGACCCATACCCAAATCAAGACCATTGCACGGGAAAAAACGCTTCAAGGCAGTGCTCCGGGCCTGTATGTGCGCTGCTGCATCGCCGCCATAGCCGGCCCGCTGCAAGGCCAGCAAGGCAGCCTTCACGAGAAAACTTCAGCAACCACGGCATGGCCCAAAACAAGTCGTAGGGTCCATTTTTTTTCCTTTGGCTGTGGCTCAAAAACATGGAATTCCCAAAGTGGCACCTTGGTAAATGGAGCCAAAGATTCAAACCTGCGATGTGCCCTAGCCCTTTTCAATTTTGACCCACAGCCATTTGGATGTCTCGCAAAACCCGATTCGCCAAGCGCTCCGCCATCTGATCCTCCTGCTCCGCTGCTGCGAAGCGCCGCTGCTGCTCGGCAGCTTCTCTCTTCTGCTGCGCCTCCCTCTGCTTCGCAGCGGCCTGTTCTCTTATCGCCTGCGCCTCACGCTGCAAAAACGTCATGTCTCGGCTGCTTTCTGCAAACCCCTGCTCAAAGTGTTTTAACTTTTAGTGGTTCAATACGAAAACCCATGAGTTGGCAAAAAGTTCAAGTCCACCACGCAATCCAAGCAAATTCCCGCCTGCGCTGCCGCCTGGGCAGCCTGAGCCGAAAGCAGCCCAAGTGAGTTACAAAGGACCAAGTGATTTCCACACAAAACCTACCAAGCGTAGAGAAGTAAAGGAGCTTCTTGCCGCGCTGAGTGCTAGTTGCCATCCCCTAACTTTCACCCGTCCCTGGAGCTTCTTGCCGCGCTTGGGTTTGGGGGAAGTGGCTTGAGTGGCGCCCCTAAACTCAGGGCCCAGCCTGCGCACGCTCCTGAGCCACCGCCTGCGCCTGCGCCTGCGCCTGCGCCTGCGCCTGCGCTTGCGCCTGCGCCTGCGCCTGCGCCTGCGCCTGCGCTGCGGCTTGCCGCTCGGCCGCCTGTGCCGGAGGCTGGGCCTGGCCATTCGGAAAATGTGGCTGCAAATCATATTCGGAATCCCCCTAAGTTGCAAGCGGTGAGCAAGCCACTGATTTTTGTTCATGTCCCCAACCAGAGAGTTCCCCAAAATGGAGCCCAAAAATTACACCAGCAGAAACCCCAAACAACTGAGGACTGACGGGCAAGCACAAACATGCCAACAGCGTGTGTCTTTCTGCGCTTCAACACGGATGAATCAAAATCATTCAGTCGTGAACCTGGCACGCATTGCGTTGCTGCACGTGTGTTGCTGGCGTGCTTCGCGCTTCAGCACCGGGCCAGAACTGAGGTTGCGCAAGCGCGCTGTCACATGAACAGTTCAGACACACATGTCCAATTCAGACACACATGTGTGCACACGTGGAGCACACATATGTATACGACTGAAACAGTACATGCGGCACGCGCAGATGTGCGCCCGTGAGCACACACATATACAGGTTACATTCACCTGCGGCACACGCATTAATGTGTTGAGCTGGAAAACAAACATGTGCTTCTTGGAAAGCACACACATGTGTACACAGGGAACACACATATGTGTTCACCTACGACACGCTAATGTGTTCACGTGGAACGCACATGTGTGTTCACTTGTTGGAAGACAATGAAACGCGTGTCCAATTCAGACACACATGTGTGTACACGTGGAAGACACATGTGTTCACGTGGAACACAATCACGTGCAAAAAAAGTACACATGTGTGTACACGTGGGAAACACATATGTATACCACTGGAACACAAATATGTGTCCAGAAACACCGCGGGTGCGGTAAAAGCGCACGTGTGTGTACAAGTGGAACACACATATGTGCACACGTGAGCGAACATACATGCTCACCTAAAGCGCACACACACATGCGCGCACCTCTAAAAAACATGCGTTTTGTCGAGCACATCCATGTGCACACCGCGAGAGCAAATATGTCCTCAGATGCCAAAAAAAGCTCACCTAAAACATACTAATGTGTTCACGTGGAACAAAAACCTGTTAACCTGGAACACAAACACGTGTCAAAAAGGAACACACATGTGCGTACAGGTGGAACACACACACACACATGTGTACACGTGAACACACATATGTGTACACGTGAACACACATACATGCGCACGCGGAGCAGACACACACACGTGTTGATCTGATAACACACACGTGTTCTCCCCAAACGCAAACACGTGTCCAATTGGAACACACACGTGGTACACGTGAACACACATATGTGCACACGTGGAACACACATTTGCGCACACGTGAACACACACATATATGTGCACCCGCATATGTGCACCCGGAACACACACACGAGTGTTCATCTGAAAACAATCAAACACAAACACGTGTCCAACTGGAACACACATGTGTGTACACGTGAACACACCTATGTGTACACGTGGGAGACACAAATGTGCACACGTGAACACACGCGTGCACACGTGAAACACACACATGTGTACTGCACACGTGAACACACACATGTATGTGCACGCGGCAAACACAGACACACACGAGGTTTCATCTGATAACAAACGCGTGTTCTCCTGGAACACAAACACGTGCCCAATTGGAACACACATGTGTGTACATGTGAACACACACTAGCACACGTGGAACACACATTTGCGCACACGTGAACAGACACATATATGTGCACCCGGAACACACGCACGAGTGTTCATCTGAAAAGAAACATGTGTTCATCTGAAACACAAACACGTGTCCAATTGGCACACACATGTGTGTACACGTGAACACACAAATGTGTACACGTGGAACGCACATATGTGCACAAATGACCACACGGAGCAGACACACACACGTGTTCATCTGATAACAAACATGTGTTCTCCTGCAACACAAACACGTGTTAAACATGTTTGTGTGATCCAGGTCTGCGCCAGTGTTGCACGTGAACACACATGCCTGTTACAAGTAAGCACATGTAGGGTTAACACAAATGTGTGTCGCAGGTGAACAGAAATGTGCTTTCCAGACACACACACATATGTGTTCCAGGTGTACGCATGTGCATGTTGGTTATTAGATGAGCACGCGCGTGTGTGTGTGTGGTGTGCGTGTTCCGGGCGCGCATATGTGTGAGTGTGTTCGCGTGTACACATATATGTGTTTAACACGTACACAAATGTGTGTTCACTTGTACACATATGCGCTTCGCACGTGTACACATATGTGTGCTCACGTGTACACACATGTGTGCTCCTATCAGACACGTGTATGTGCTCCAGGAAAACACATGTTTGTTATCAGATCAACACGTGTGTGTGCGCCTGCTCCGCGTGCACATGTATGTGTGTTCACGTGTACACATATGTGTGGTCCACGTGTACACATTTGTGTGTTCACGAGTGCGCACATGTGCGTTCCAACACACATGTGCAACACACATGCGTTCACCTGAACAACAAAGAACTTACATTTTCTGCACGCCTGGGCGACACATAAATCAAGTTCCCGAAGTCGGCTGTGAGGCGCTATTCCATGGGGCTCTGCCTTGAACAACGCTGGTGTTTTATATGCGTGTTCAAGTAGGAAAATAGTGTTCGTGTGCGATCAGTGTGCGATCAATCTAGCTTTTTCCGTATCGAGCCATCTAAAGTGCTTTTATCGTATTGTGGCAACTCTTCGTACCGATTCAGTAAAGCATTTGCTTTCGCAGGAAAATATGCAACCAAATTCTTCCGCACGCTCGGCACAAGGCATCCCTGCCTTCTTGCCTCAGCCGTTTTTCTCCCCTTTGTCCAGCAAATCGCATTCCATGGTAATTGCACGCGAGGAAAGCGGAAGCAAATTTGGATTGAGGCGTAACTGGGAACCGGTGACAGCTACCACGGTTGCTAGCGCGGCTAGCGCGGGTTCGCCGTATTTTTTGGAGTCACGGCGACCATCTGTGTGGATTTGACACGTAAGATGAAGGTAAACGTGCGAACTGGTTTCTTAGTACTAAATAAGAAGTGCAACATTACACCCTTGAATGCCACACAAAGCCCATCGCGCTCTTGGAAACCAAGATCACCGAAGACCCTAGCGCAAACCAAGCGCCATCCTAGCGCCTCCAGCGGGAAGCGGGCAAACCATTGGTAGTTGCAGGACTCCGCTTTGTATGAATGAAAAACTGCACAAAGTGACTGCGACAGCTAAACTCCCTTACTAAGAACTTTGACCGGATCGCATATGTGTTCTACCAGACAAATCATGCAACAAGTGCGTGAACACTTGGAACGCGCCGGTGTGGTCAGCTGGAACGAAACAAGAACGCACAATCATTCACTTGAAGCACTCATACTTGCATCCGCAGCATGCTGCGGCTGGCAAGATCAAGAGCACGCGCGCGCTCAAACACGCGTTTCTGAGCCACAAACACACATGCGTGCCCGCGGAAGAGCCATGCCAGGCATCCAGGCAGCGAGACAACCGGGACAAATGAATCCGTCCACCCACAGAGCCATGACAGGCATCCAGGCTGGGAGACAACCGGTAAAGGGAGACAAAGGGAGACAAATCAATCCGTCCACTCACAGACGTGTCAGGCCAGAAATGAACTTGTCCACACAGAGAAACGTGCATCCAGGCTGGGAGAGGACAAAATCCAGACTCGGAGACAACGGGAGACAAATAAAGGGAGACAAAGGGGGACATCCGGGCTGGGAGACAACGGGAGACAAATAAATCCGCCCACCCAGAAACGGTGCCAGGCATCCAGGCCAGGAGACAACGGAAAGCAAGCAAAGGGAGACAAATGAGTCCGTCCGTGCCAGGCATCCGGGCTGGGAAACAACAAGAAACAAATGAAGGGAGAGAAAGGGAGACAAATGAACCCGTCCACCCAGAGAGCCCGTGCCAGGCATCCAGGCTGGGAGACAACGGGAGACAAATGAAGGGAGACAAAGGGAGACAAATGAACCCGTCCACCCAAAGAGCCGTGCCAGGCATCCAGGCTATGGCTTGACAACAGGCGAGTCACTTTAATGAATTTAGAACCCCTCACAGTAAACTGTTTGGGGAATGACCTGTGCTCTGAAAAATCCTGAGAACCCCCCTCATTTTTCCAGTGAAACTTCACATCAGCCCCTAACGCACGAAAACAAAACGCCCCTCCTTGGCAGCCCGCGGCGGCGGAGGAGCCGGCGCCTCGAGAGAGGGTTCCCCAGCAGCCAAATCTGCTTGATGGCTTTTTGTACTTTTTGGTGGATCTTTTTGTTTTGGCTAAGGTTCTTTTGGTGATAGACGGAATTTGGGTTCATCTGATTTTCTGGTTGAGGTTCTTTTGGTGATAGACAGATTTTTGGTGCATCCTTTTTTTGGTGGTTTTTTTTGGTGATAGACAGCAAGAAAAATCGACCAATAGGCCCCAGAAAACAAGTTGGCCAAGGCTGAGGTCTGGAAAATCACCCAAAAAAATGGAGATATAAATCGGCGCCTTTCTGTTCCCATGGACGAGACCTTTTCGGGTGAGCTATTGGAAACTCGGTAAGTCAGATCCGCCCATCCCGGCCTCAGGGGGCGGAGGTCTTGGCAACTCCTGAGCCGAGAGCAGACACTGCCAGACATGGGTCTGTCTGTTTTTGAGGCCGGACCCCCCAAAAAAAAAACAAATCTAGAGGTACCTTCCGATTCCATTCTTTCCAGGGATCCGGATCTTTCTAGAAAACCTCCGGAAACCAGGGAGAACAGCCGGTTTTTGGAAAGAACGATGGTTGAAAAGAATGGAAAGGAATCAACCCCTAGAAAAATGGCTTCCAGTGTTCAATCTGTCCCTTCAAAATCAAAAAAGAAGCCGCAGCCTTGAAGAAAGACACCCCCCAAACTTTGCAAAAAAAAATCGATGTGGAAGATTCCGCAGAGACGGTTGTCCCTCTAATGGTGCAGTCTCCGACCTCCTTGGCATCGGCGGTCTCTTCTTCATCTTTTTGCCTTGGCCGCGTGGAGATGCCAAGTTGGCTATGATCGGATGGAAGACTCTGCCAGGCCCAGCTTACAGTACATGACTCAGGGTCCTACCGGGGTTAATCAAAAAGGTCCCCAAAGAACATAGGATGACCATCAGGAAACCAAAAAAAGACGAGTTTCACCACATGGCACAAGTTCCTCATGATCATTTTGGGCCGAAGGGAATATCACCCGCCCCACCCCCAAACCTCAGCTGAGCCGACGGGAATATTGATCAATCCAGATGTACTCCCCTAGAGTTTGACATGACCCCAAAACCCCATGGGGCCAGGAAGTTTGAGGCAGGGAATTCTGATCTGGGCTGCCCGATTTCAGATCCCCCACTAAAAGCGACTAACTTTTAGTGGGTTAAATGGAAAATACCACTAAACACTAAGAGGATCTAAAAAGCTGAGGAACCGGATGGCTGGGAGCCACCAAGTGATCAACCCCGCTAATCTCAGCTGAGCCAAGCGAAGCGCTTTTCACGCGATGGATCCAAGGCCGGCACCGTCCTCCCCGCGGCTTTCTGCGTCGATCCTGCGGTTTCAACAAACGGTCCCATCCCAGAAATCGGGGACCCCGAAAACGGCGGCGGGGGTCCTTGAAAACCACCAAACATGGGGAAAGCCTTAAAAAAGACACCCCCCCAAGTGCGAATGCGCCCTTTAAATAGGTTTCCTCTGGGTTTTGCAAGACACAGATACACCTTGGCGAATGATTCGCGGTGATTGAGGCACTAGCATCTTCGGGCGCTGCGACTTCTCCACGCATCATTTGGGCAACCTTCAAGGATCACTGGTGCAAATTGGGAAACCCGGGTCACTGCTTGTCCATGTGGCTGTGGGTCAAAACGTGAACAACAAAATAGGTCGCAAATGGATGTTCCACCCCAAAATGCCATAGGTTATGCAACCCATGGCCATGTCACAACCTCTCAGCTTCTCAGCTGAGGGCGGTGTTCTGCGTCTCTCCACGAGCTTTTGGAGGACGATACGCCTGTCGCGAGATTCATAGGCGAAAGTTTCCCATGGGAAATTGAGCGGTCCGGTCCAAAAGTGGTTGCCACACCCCAACCACAGACATGATCCAGACCGGGTATCAAAGGAGTCGACCCAAAATGTCCATGAAAGGATCGAAAGGGCGCATATGTCCTAGGACCTATTGTTTGGGGGAATGTCCCCCCAAGTCTAATCATTAACTCAGGTTGTGGTGATAAAATTGCAGGGTTGAGACACCGACTCCCGCTTGGCCCAGTTGCACTCACGCATCTGTCCTGCTTCTTCTGGGCCGCTGCTTCCACCACGTTCTTCGCATCCTCCTGGGTCGGATTTGGGGGCCTCAAATGTCCCCACCCCACCCCTACCACTCCCAAAACACCCGCCTTTTGTTGAGGGAACATGGGAAAATGATGTGCGCTTCGCGCATCTCGCTCAGCGAAAGAAAACCAACCCCCAAAAAACCCACCCAGTCCTGTTTGGCTTGTGCAATCTCTTCCATCGTCACGTCGGGATGCTTGTTCTTCGGATCTGGCCGCCACCTTTTCCGCTGCCCCAGCCCCTTCCCCAAGTGGCGTGATGTTTTTGCCAGGGGGCCCTCGTCTTTTTTAGGAATCGCAAATAGATGTTTTTTTGGCTTTGATGTCCACCAACCACTTGTGAACTGGCTCCGACTCTTAACATCCATAGCCATTTGCCCCCCTCTCCCGAGTCGAGGTATGCCAAGACCCGCACTGAACATCAAAGAGCTCCTGCGAAGCTGTGATGCGACCAAATATGCACCAGCCAAAGAGGGTGCGGTCGAACTCTCGAGAAAAACCCACGCGTCGCATTCATCGTTATATATGTGTCCCTATTCGCAGAAACTCATGAAGACCCCGCGAACCACACACTCCGCACAAACGCCAAAACAAGAATCACCTGGCCTCGAAAGGAGTCACAGAGACTCTTGCACCGCTCAAGGCGTGCCACACACAAAGGCAATTGTCCACCTCGTGACATCGCTCGCGGCGGACTGATTCGTGTGCTGGGGTAACCCCTCCCACATGGACATCCACGGACGGTCGATGTTTTAGGATATTCCTGGGGGTCCCGGGTGACCAAATGGTGGCCCCCTTTGGTTTTAAAGGGAAGCCACCAAAAGGAAACCACATCTACAAAATGGCTCCCTTTCGGCTTCTCCTTTAAAGCCAACGACAAGAACCAGCAGCTGGGCCGTTTCGAGGCTTGAGCGCCCGCTTTCCTGGGCGCCGGGCGCGCATCCTGGGTGCCAGTACGGCGGTGAGGAAGTGGCGTCCATCAGGAGCCCACCTCGAAACGGAGCCATCGAGATCATGGCGAGGCGTGCTCGTCCGAAACTGAAATGGGCAACAAAAAACGAAGCAAATGGCTGTGGGTCAAAAAAATGGCTGTGGTTGTCAAAAGCCTGGAAACCCCTGGTGAACATCAACATAGGTGGCACATGGATGTTCATCCACCCCAAAATGGCTCGAAATCCATAGGTTATGCAACTCATAGCCAAATGGTGCTAGAGAAATGGATGGGATGCTTGGATACTTTCTCTTTTCTGCCCAGCTCCTCAGCTCTTCTTGGATGAACACGAGAAAACCCCAAGTCATTGTCCACGAGTGGATCTACTCGAGTGGATCCCTTGAAGGGGTCCGACTCGGCGCGACCGGAGCGACCCGACCCTCGGACGAGTCCGAGGGCGCAGCTCCGAGGAGACGGTGCAACTGGCATTGCAGCTGGAGACGTGGACGTAGTCCTCCTCCTCACGACCTCGCTTATGGGAAATGCGTCAAGTGCATACAAAACAAAAAAGAGTTTCGTGTATCTTCCCTTGGCTCAAAAACCCTCCAAAGCCTAACCCCCCCCCCAAAAAAATAAAAAAAAAAACGCTTCCAAGGGGCGCCTGTCCCTTTCTCTCCGCCGGAGAAAAAAGAAACAAAAAAAAAAAACGAAGCCGCACTCTGCGGCGCCAGGCCGAAGAAGTCCACGCCACCCGCCTGCAGCTTCTGCAAATGAAATCCGTGACTTGCCCTTGCCTTTTTGAGTTCCTTCAAATGCCTGAACAGCTGCCCTCAAATCACCTACCCTCAAAGCTTGCGATCCCAACAAACCATTTTTGTTCCAAACGTCTTCCGACTGTTTATTCTTTTTCGGGGGGGGGGGGGGCAGGGGAGCAGATCCCCCCGCGACGCCCACCTCACCGAACCCGCCCCTGAACGCCCGCCCCCGAAGTCGACAGTTCGCTGGCTGAGGCGTGCGCCAGGTTCCCGAAGCCGGCGAGGCAGACCAAAGACCCGAAGCTGTTGAAGCGGATGGTGTTCCGGTGCGCCTGATGATCTTTTTTGCTGCGAACTGCTTTTCGTGGCTTGCGCCAGTTTTCCGTGTCTTCTGCTGCGAGCTGCTCAACGGTTGGCTTGCGCCAGTTTTTTGTGTTTCCGTCTTTCAACCAGTAAGAACATGTTGTTTTTCTTTTTGAAGACTTAGGTTTTTTTTGGCGCCAAAAACAAGGAAAGCAATGTGAAACGAAAAATCCGAAAGTCGCTAGTGACCACTGATAGCATTCACAGGACAAGCCCCTTAACTGGGTTATATCCCACTCGTATGATGTACTAGATGGGGCTATCAATCACTAGGGTGGCATCCGACCCGCCATCCGTGAGCAAAACCCGGGCCAGCCTTGTCCAAGAGGACCTTCTTCACTGCCAACTTTTTCGCCCTTGGCCAAGGGAAAAGGCGTGCGAAACGACGAGAAATTCCCCGCGCCTGTCATCCCAAGCAAAGAGGGTCGCTTTGGCCGGCTGGAATCCTACCCGAGCTCGGTGAATTTTTGATCAATCCATGGGAGGCCTTCTCAACATGGACCCATCTTGGATGGTTTTACAGGAACGGAAACCAGACCGCAGTGGCATCATGAACTAGCATGCCGTGTTTTCTGTCGCGCCCGCCTGAAATCAGAATGAACTCATCTCGGGTTGGGCTCCAGGCGACAGCCTGCGGAAAGAAACACTCATCGCTTCGCTTTTTCTTGCAAAAGCGAAGCTTCATGGGCAAAAGGCGCGCCTGGACGCACCCCCCTTGGCATTCCTCATCCGTGATATCCTTCAGACTCTCGCCACCCTGCGACCTCGCCAGAACCCATGGCATGCACACAACAAGCGCAAAATCCGCCGGTGCGAGGCCAAAGATATGGCCATGGGTCAAAAGCCCGTACCCCCAGTGAACATCCCAATCCCCACTAAAATAGGTTCTAAAATGGGTGGTGCACCTGCCCCAAAATGGTACCATTGGGGTTGACCCGCAGCCATATCGTTTCAGCCAAGTGGCAGGAAAGCTAGGCGGGACCCGCCATAATAACTTTGGCCAGTTTCGTCCACTTCTGTCTGGCAATGTGCAATCCTGCGGCCGAACTCATTCAAGTCACGAGAAGCTCGGAAGTCAAGCAATAGCACTCGAATCAAATCATAGGCAGGGCATTGTCCTTTCACCCCCGGTTTGGATTTGTGATAACGACGTGTGTAATCCACAACAGCCGGTCCATGTGACGTGGTTGACCCTCTCTTTTTACATGCTTGTAAAGGTGCCAGCCCAGCTTCTGTCATGACTTTCCCTCTTCAAACAACAAAATCACTCCACACACATGGCTGTGGGTCAAAACCCTGTACCCCCAGTGAACATCCCAATCCCCACTAAAATAGACTAAGATGGGTCCAGAATGGTACCATTGGTCTTGACCCACAGCATCAGACTACCAGCTGGGCTGCCGGCAGGCAGTTGCCAGCTGAATTCCAAAGCAAGTCTGCCACCTCGGGTTGCGGGCGAGCGGACGCCTTCAAGCGCCTCGCCAAAAGCACTCGCAACTCCAAGCTCCGGGCTTGGCCGCATCGCACATCTTGGTACACGGAAGAGCATGGAATCCCGTTGACTTTGCACACCCCAGGGACAATATACGATGTTCCCCCAAATGACATGGGAGAATTGGGACCTATCCCCATAAGTTATTGTGGTTGGATTCTGCGTGTCCCTCCTTCTCATCTCCAAAGCAACAGAAGACTACCAGCAGTTCCGTCAGCTGCTCAATTGCACGCACAAAAAATGGTAAAAACTCCCCCGTGTGGCCGTGCGTGGCCATCTTTGACAACGCCCTGCTGTGTTTTGGAGGGAAGGACGTCGCCCTATGGGTACGACAGAAGCTCGGATCCCCTAAATGTCTTGCCAATCAGTGGGTGATATGGAAGCCCAGCCACAAAACCGACCAAAAACAACTAAAAAGAGCTTACTGGAACCAAATGGATGGCTGGGCACACCAAAAAAAAAAACTAAAACAACCCGTAAAGAACCAAATGGGCTGGGAAACAACCAGCCCTATGAACCTCCTTCTTCTCCCTTCCGATCTTCCGATCCGAGCAGCTCATCTTCACGCTGGAGCTGGACTGCAGTCCAGCCTGGTTGGCCGTGAGCCTCGGCTTTCGATTCGATCCTTCGATCCGGGCGTCTCCGGTGGGCGGATCTGGATGCGACTTTGGGATGCGAGCCGCTCCGATTTTTGGGAGAAAGCCAGGCTGGTGCGAAAATGAACCAAAACACAAAACATTTTGTTCCAGGTATCACCTCACACCCAGAGGGGAAGTCTTGGGTCGTGTGTTGGGGATCCGTGGTACGGAAACCTTGGCCCCTTACGACCCGTTAAGACGGCTGCTGCTTTTCCTTTCGGCTCGGAAGGGGGGTCCACCCAGAAAACCCGGCAACCCTTCGTGATGCTGCATTTTTCGCCACCTCTCATCCCTGGACACGCGGAACAAAGCTCACCTTGCCAACGGAAAGGCGCCCAACCCGCTCGAAATGTCGATCAAAACTAGGGTCCGGACTCCAGGATGGACACCTGCCATACTCGAAGCACGATGGTCAGCTTCACGACGAGCATGTGTGCCCAGAAAAGCGACTTGCTTATCCTGTTGTCATTCTCGTGACCTCCTCCTCCTAGAGGTACAAGTAACTATTCTACAAAGCAACAAGAGGAAAGAAGAAACACGTCATTCCAGGAGACACTTCCATTTCCATTCTTTCCAGGGCTCCATTCCATCTTTCCAACCATCATAACCCCAACAAAAACGGATCCGGTTTTCGATAAAAGAACCGATGGTTGAAAAGAATGGTTGGAATGAACCCCTCGAGTCATGCCAGCCGCGCCTCGGCAGGTCCCACCACTCGCTGCAAGTCATCGCGCTGGTCGGCCACGAAGAGGGCCAGGCGAGCGTGGAAGCCCACCTCGCAAGACGTGGCTCCCGCCGCAAGAAGGAAACGTGGGCCATGTTTATTTATGTGCTCCTGCTAGCGTTCCTTCTAACTCAACCAAAAAAAGAAGAAGAAAAGAAGAAGAAGAAAACCGGCGCCCTCCAAACACATGCTGCCTTTGTTTGTGTTGGCCCTTTGATGCGGAAGCACCTCCGGTGTGACTACGCCGGCCTTGGGGTTCAGCGGCGCAAACTCGAAGCCCGCCACGTTGCTCGCCTGGCGAGCTCGCGAGAGCGTTTGGTCAGAAAGAAGCCGTTGGATGTTGGTCGAAGTGTTTGCCTGTGGTCAAAACCGTGGTCGATCCCATGTTGGGGGATTGGGGAATTCGCCACCCAGAGGCTTCCTGTTTTTGTGTGTACGATTTGGATTTCGACCCATGGCCGATTGATGAAACACCCACCCGAGGCAATAAATCCCCAAGTTCCATTGGATGTGTAAATCTGGCAAACTCAAGCCCTAAGTTTGTGCTGCGATGTCACCAAATGGCGCCAGCCATTCGCCAACAAGTCCCACCGGCTTTCCTTCCCCACCCTTGGAAATTTCCCCCCCCCCCCTCCGCCTTTTTCCATATTACTGTTGGGTGTTTTCCTTCCTCACCCTTGGCACCTTTTTTCAGAGTACAGTCGGCCTCCATCTCAACCCAAGCTGAGTCGCCATCAAAACCCGGTCTCAAACTGGTTGACCCAGAAGAATCTAAAGGAAATACAAAGGCGGCAGCTGTTTCTGGCTGGGATTGTCCCTAACATAGGTGTCCTTTTCGGGAAAATAGATGGGTTTCCCTGGTCAATGGAATAAAACCAACCTAAACCAGTGGAACCCATCTATTTCTATCTAACCAAAAAAAGAAAAACGGACACCTATGGTCCGTTTCTAACCTTCATCTACCCGAATCGGTTTTTTGCCACCGCGGCTCAGCTGCGGCCTTGAGCTCCATGAGCGGCGACTCCGCCAAGTCCGCGCCGTCGTGCAGGTGGATCTTCCCTCGAAAAAATAAAAACGCCGCGCGACGACGCGAAAGAGCGCGGCGGGCTCCAAAAAAAGCCATTGACATGGCATAGGTGTCCTTTTCATGTTTGATTGTTATATATATGTATATATATATATATGGTTTTATCTCTTTAAGAAACAAATGGCCCTGGTATATGCAATCAAACACGCCTTAACCAAGGCCATCGCTTTGTGGGCGCACTAACCTGAAAAGCTCACCCATGCTGATATGACTGTGGCCCGACTGTGGCCGTGAATTTTAAGAGTGGATGAATCGGGACCCACCAACTTCTGGTATCCATCAAAGGGCCCATGTCCCGCATGGAACAACAATCGATTGCCAACTGCGAGCCTTCCGGCGTCAATCGCGCACAGAGGTTCTCGTCGATGGTCCACTGGAGGATCTGGGGCAAAAGCAGGTCGCTGCGTCGGCAGTTCCCCCCAAAAATCAAAATACAAATGTGTTTTTTCTGTTGGTTACCTCAACAGGGCATTTCCCCCCGCCCCCCAGTTGCCCCCCTTTAGAACCAGAACAACAAGGGGCGAATCCTCAAACCCCGAGGCATCCGCACCGATTTGGGAGATTGTCAAACTTCGCCTTCTTGTCCTTCTCCAACTTGGGGTGGCAGAACTTCGCCTGAACCGAAGCCGACGGGACAGCGTCGCCGTTGGCGCTTTCCCCTAAATCGGTTGGATGGGCTTTTACTCTGCCATCGAACCAGTTGGGAATGAATCGGTTTGGGGGATTCGCTCAAAGAAAACCTAATACGTTGGATGGTCTTTCTCAAAGTCATTCCGGGCCTCTCATTCCCTACATGGGTCAAGAGCCAAATCGTACCCCCAGTGAACATCCAATGCACCTACCCCAAGATGGGATCCTATTGGTTTTGACGTTTTCACCCACAGCCGCATCTCTCGCAGCGGTCACACCCCACCTGCAGCTCGTAGTTCCCGCCCTGGCCGGCGCCGCTCCCCGGCGCGCCCCCACCGGACCGCCGCCACACGTGGACGTTGGGCTCCTGGAAAAAGACATTGGGCCCCACTCCCTTCGAAGAAAAAGAAAAGGACATGTGTGGGGGGGGGGGCTGTTTTTCCACGGGAAGCCATAAAAAGACCGCCATTTTGCAGGTTCCCCCCTATTTTAAGACTCCCCCCTTGTGGCAAAAATCATGTCATCGGCTTCTTTCCAGCCGTCGGTCGGTTTGGATCACTCCCAGCGTCCGTCAGGTTCTTTCCGCCAGGCGCTACGGTGACCAAAGCTGAGCCCGCGGGCGACCTGAACGATAGTCGACTTCCAATTTGTGGGTGTCGTTCCTCAAAAAAAGGTTGGTTTGAGGGTGTGAGGGTCTGAGAGTCTAAGGGTTTGAGGGTCTGAGGGTCTGAGGGTCTGAGGGTTTGAGGGTGTGAGGGTCTGAGAGTCTGAGGGTTTGAGGGTCTGAGGGTCTGAGGGTCTGAGGGTCTGAGGGTCTGAGGGAATTGTGAGGTCTGAGTCTGAGGTTTGAGGTCTGAGGGTCTGAGGGGTCTGGGGTCTGAGGGTCTGAGGGTTTGAGGGAGTGGCGAGGGTCTGAGAGTCTGAGGGTTTGAGGGTCTGAGGTCTGAGGGTCTGAGGTTTGAGGGGTGTGGGGGTCACAGGAAGTCTGAGGTTTGAGGTCTGAGGTCTAGGAGTCTGAGGGTTTGAGGGTGTGAGGGTCTGAGAGTGGGAAGTTTGAGGGTCTGAGGGTCTGAGGGTCTGAGGTCTGAGGGTCTGAGGTCTGAGGTCTGAGGTTTGAGGTGTGAGGTCTGATCTGGGGTTTGAGGGTCTGAGGTCTGAGGGTCTGAGGGTTTGAGGGTGTGAGGGTCAGAGAGTCCCCCAGGGTTTGGGTCTGAGGGTCTGAGGGTCTGAGGATGTGAGGGTCTGAGGGTTTGGGTCTGAGGGTCTGAGGGTCTGAGGGTCTGAGGGTCTGAGGGTCTGAGGGTGAGGGTTTAGGGTCTGAGGGTTTGAGGGTCTGAGGGTCTGAGGGTCTGAGGGTCTGAGGGTTTGCGAGTCTGAGGGTCTGAGGGTCTGAGGGTGCAGGTTTAGGGTCTGAGCGTTTGAGGGTCTGAGGTCTGAGGGTCTGAGGGTGAGGGTTTAGGGTCTGAGGGTCTGAGGGTCTGAGGGTCTGAGGGTCTGAGGGTCTGAGGGTCTGAGGGTTTGAGGGTCTGAGGGTTTGCGAGTCTGAGGGTCTGAGGGTCTGAGGTCTGAGGGTGCGGGTTTAGGGTCTGAGCGTTTGAGCGTTTGAGGGTCTGAGGGTCTGAGGGTGAGGGTTTGGGGTCTGAGGGTCTGAGGGTCTGAGGGTCTGAGGGTCTGAGGGTCTGAGGGGGTGAGGGTTTAGGGTCTGAAGGATTGAGGGTCTGAGGGTCTGAGGGTCTCAGGGTGTGAGGGTTTGGGTCTGAGGGTCTGAGGGTCTGAGGGTCTGAGGGTCTGAGGGTCTGAGGGTCTGAGGCTTTGGGTCTGAGGGTCTGAGGGTCTGAGGGTCTGAGGGTCTGAGGGTCTGAAAAGTGTGAGGGTCTGAGGTGAGGGTGTGAGGGCTGGGGGTCTGAGGGTGAGGTCTGACCCTGGAGCCTTCAGTTTGTCCCCCAGGGTGTGAGGGTCTGAGGGTCCCGAGGTCTGAGGGTCTGAAAATTGTGAGGGTTTTGAGGTCTGAGGTCTGAGGTCTGGTGTGAGGGTCTGAGAGGTCGGGGTGTGAGGTCTGAGGGTCTGAGGGTCCTGGGGTCTGAGGGTGTGAGGTTTGAGGGTCTGGGGTCTGAGGGTCTGAGGGGTGTGAGGGTCTGAGGGTCTGAGGGTGTGAGGTCTGAGGGTCTGAGGTCTGAGGGTGAGGGTTTGAGGGTCTGAGGGTCTGAGGGTCTGAGGTGTGTGAGTGTGAGGTCTGAGGTCTGAGGGTGAGGGTCTGAGGGTCTGAGGGTCTGAGTGTCTGAGTGTCTGAGGGTTTGAGGAGGGTCTGAGGGTCTGAGGGTTTGCGGGTCTGAGGGTCTGAGGGTCTGAGGGTGAGGGTCTGAGGGTCTGAGGGTCTGAGGGTCTGAGGGTCTGAGGGTCTGAGGGTTGAGGGTCTGAGGGTCTGAGGGTCTGAGGGTCTGAGGGTCTGAGGGTCTGAGGGTGTGAGGGTCTGAGGGTCTGAGGGTCTGAGGGTCTGAGGGTCTGAGGGTCTGAGGGTCTGAGGGTCTGAGGGTCTGAGGGAGGGTTTGAGGGTCTGAGGGTCTGAGGGTCTGAGGGTCTGAGGGTCTGAGGGTCTGAGGGTGTGAGGGTCTGAGGGTCTGAGGGTCTGAGGGTCTGAGGGTCTGTGAGGGTCTGAGAGTCTGAGGGTCTGAGGGTCTGAGGGTCTGAGGGTCTGAGGGTCTGAGGGTCTGAGGGTCTGAGGGTCTGAGGGTCTGAGGGTCTGAGGGTCTGAGGGTCTGAGGGTTGAGGGTCTGAGGGTCTGAGGGTTTTGAGGGTTGAGGGTCTGAGGGTCTGAGGGTCTGAGGGTCTGAGGGTTTGAGGGTCTGAGGGTCTGAGGGTCTGAGGGTCTGAGGGTCTGAGGGTCTGAGGGTCTGAGGGTCTGAGGGTCTGAGGGTCTGAGGGTCTGAGGGTCTGAGGGTCTGAGGGTGTGAGGGTCTGAGTGTCTGAGGGTCTGAGGGTCTGAGGGTCTGAGGGTCTGAGGGTCTGAGGGTCTGAGGGTCTGAGAGTCTGAGGGTCTGCGGGTCTGAGGGTCTGAGGGTCTGAGGGTCTGAGGGTCTGAGGGTTGAGGGTCTGAGGGTTGAGGGTCTGAGGGTCTGAGGGTCTGAGGGTCTGAGGGTCTGAGGGTCTGAGGGTCTGAGGTCTGAGGGTTTGAGGGTCTGAGGGTCTGAGGGTCTGAGGGTCTGAGGGTGTGAGGGTCTGAGAGTCTGAGGGTTTGAGGGTCTGAGGGTCTGAGGGTCTGAGGGTCTGAGGGTGTGAGGGTCTGAGAGTCTGAGGGTTTGAGGGTCTGAGGGTCTGAGGGTCTGAGGGTCTGAGGGTGTGAGGGTCTGAGAGTCTGAGGGTTTGAGGGTCTGAGGGTCTGAGGGTCTGAGGGTGTGAGGGTCTGAGAGGTCTGAGGGTTTGAGGGTCTGAGGGTGAGGGTGAGGGTTGAGGGTCTGAGTCTGAGGGTCTGAGGGTCTGAGGGTCTGAGGGTCTGAGGGTCTGGAGGGTCTGAGGGTCTGAGGGTTTGAGGTCTGAGGGTGTGAGTCTGAGAGGAGTTTTGAGGGTCTGAGGGTCTGAGGGTCTGAGGTGTGTGAGGGTCTGAGGGAGGGTTTGAGGGTCTGGGTCTGAGGGTCTGAGGGTCTGAGGGTGGGTCTGAGAGTCTGAGGGTTTGAGGGTCTGAGGGTCTGAGGGTCTGAGGGTCTGAGGGTCTGAGGGTCTGAGGGTGTGAGGGTCTGAGAGTCTGAGGGTTTGAGGGTCTGAGGGTCTGAGGGTCTGAGGGTCTGAGGGTGAGAGGCTTTGAGAGTGTGAGGGTCTGAGAGTCTGAGGGTTTGAGGGTCTGAGGGTCTGAGGGTCTGAGGGTCTGAGGGTCTGAGGGTCTGAGGGTGTGAGGGTCTGAGAGTCTGAGGGTGTGAGGGTCTGAGAGTCTGAGGGTTTGAGGGTCTGAGGGTCTGAGGGTCTGAGGGTCTGAGGGTGAGAGGGTTTGAGAGTGTGAGGGTCTGAGAGTCTGAGGGTTTGAGGGTCTGAGAGTCTGAGGGTCTGAGGGTCCCCAAAATGGATTGCCACCTGGTCAATGGAAAGGACGAAACAACCTGCTGCTTTTCTGGCTTAGCTTTGACCAAGACCCATATGTCGAAATGGGTCCTTTAAGTCAATTCATGCACGCTAAAAAGGAAGCATAGAATCATAGGCGCAGCTCGAGTTTAGCGCAGTATCTGAGATGCGCACCATGCGAAGGTGAAAACATTCTTCGGAGCTCCGGGGAGTTCCATGATTGTTCCTCCTGACCTCAGAACGACCGAGATCTGTTGGGGGATCTTCCTGCAAGAAATCGAAATCCCAAACAGGGGCCCTGAATTCTTGCGGCCGACTCCGGGGATGTGCGACTCAGCCACTGACGCGCCCGGGGTTGGGGGGTTGCGGGGGGCGGGTGGGTGGGTGGGGGAAATTTGACGCCGAGCTGCAAGGACTGGTCCTTGAAGACAGCGACTTGCGGCCCTTGCACTGGATCCACCTGCGACCGCAAGACTTGCCCTGGCTTCTCACCACTTTCCGTAGTCACATGGACCTCTGAAGGGCGTTTTTTTTTTCTTCTTTTTTTTTCTTTTTTTTCGGGGGGGGGGGGGGTCATGCCTGGATAAGAGGACAAGTTGCTAAGGCATCATGGCTCTCTATCTCCTCTGATGTTCGACCCTAAATAGAAAGTAGAACTCAGTTTCCCAAAGGACCCAGGATTAAAGGTGATCGCCCTGCGGCCATGACTAGAAATGGGCCAAACACGGGACACCAAAAGGTCAAATCCGGTCGGTTCGCTGACAAGTCGCTTTGGACAAGAAAAATATAGCCTCCGTTCTACCCAGGACAGGGCCCGGTCGACACATTTAGCCGTGCAAACCACTCTCTACACCCTGGCGTGATGCACCCCGGGAATTTCAATCGAAGCCCTCCAGAAGTCTGGACAGACATCCCCAATCCATTTCGATCACCCAATGAAGCCACGGTGGAAATCAGCACGGTTGGTCGGTAGTTACGTCGGGGGCATCGAATCCTTCCAGGCTTTCTGAACGGTGCGACATGGATTCCGCAACCATTTTCAGCATCCAGCAAGCCCGTCATTCTGGGCGCCCGAGTTGACACCGGAACGGCACTCGGTGGAAGGGGTCGCTCGCTGGGGAGCGTGCTATGGCCAGCGCGATGCCGTCGGGGCTCCAGCAGGAGGCTTTGGGCAGTGTGAGCGGAAATGGAGGTGCCTGAGCGACCGACCTCTCCAAACACCGAGGGACAACTCCTCAACAATCCGAGGGGGCGGGGTCTGAGACAACAAGCCACCAATACATGTTTTGTCTTCAGCAACTTCGGTGAAACAAGAATTGCAGAAAGCCAAGACAGTAATCGCGATGGAAAGGGGCAAACATCCATTGTAGACAACAAGCCGCTAATCAGAATAAGTTCCCCGTTGGTTTCAAAAGGGAATCTGTCAATTTTCATGCACCAGGTTCTGCTGCATCCGGGCTTGACATTCCCTTCGCGCCTGAACCTCCTCAATCTGCGAATTCGCAAAACCTGCAAATGTCCAAGCTGAAGCAAGAAGAAGCGTAGAGAAAATTGAGGCGGCCACCGTAAAGCTTCAAATACTCCTTCTCCCTCACATAGAAAGGCATCGGCCTCAGAAGCTCCCTCCCGTGAAAACACCCGCGAAGCTCTCTCCGCCCGAGCCCGCGCGCCCCCTTGTTGCCCGGGCCATGGGGCGAATCGGTGTTTCCGGAAAATCCCCCCCCCCCCCCGGAAAAAAGGAGGAAAAAGTGTGCAAAGTATTTCCGTTGCCTACTCCGAGTCTTGGCTTCCTGCGAGGCAGCCATTCTGGGAAGAGCTGCTCGTCCTGCGATGTGAACCGGCCAGCCGGGCAAGCGGCAAGCGCGCGGCTGCGGCCGGCAAGTGTTTGAAGCAAAGCGGAAAGAGCACCAACCATCTTTCAGAGGTCCCCGACTTTGGGCTTGACATCTAAAAACAGACGCCCAAGCCGCCCGAGCTCCGGCCTGGGGGCGAAAGGCCCAGTGGTGAGACACGAATCCAAATCCTAGGCCTAGAAAGCCAGTGCCAAAATGCCGCGCTCGCTCTGTCCAAAATGCCCCTCGGTTGCCACGTGCGCCAGGCCGTGGTGTGGAGAACGTTTCGTGGGGTGGCGCTCCGCCGAGTGAAGTCTTGAAGTTGGAGTGGGGCGATCCGAAGCAGCAGCTCCCAAAGCGATCACGAGCCGAAAACGGAGCGCTGGCGAGGCGTGGGCTTCGTCTCAAGCTGGTGAACTCTTCGGATGTCCAACTTTCTCAGCTGCTGGTTTGGAGCCGGAGCCCGAGCCGGAGCCCCAGCCGGAGCCCGGTTTGGTCCCTATAGCTTCTTTAAACCAGCCCAAAACGGTGCTAAAAACAGGGCTCACGCACACTCATGCAATGCTCGCGCAATGCTCTCGCTTTGAAGTCTGACTGGACTGAGACCGCCACTTCCAGTGCCAAGGCCGAGTAGAGCAAGACATGGCTTTGAAGCTCAGAACCTTTCACACTTGCCGGTGCGATAGGAAATGAGACCTGGGGATTCCCGAATAAAGGAAACCAGCGGGGATGGTTTATATGTGTCATTCCCTTCCTCATTCCCATCTCTCGCACCAAGCACCTTGGCCGAAGAAACCCAACGCGCGGCATCGGTTCCTTGGCCCCACGCCAAAGTTGATCATGTCGGTGCCAACCTCAGCAGGCCGACAGCCGGAACAGCACGCGTCCCAGATCCCTCCAGAGGGCCCGGCCATGTTGTCGAAGGGCATCCCCGGATCCTCCGGAGCAGACATGGTGCCATATTCTGGCCATGGGTCAAAACCCCGTACCCCCATTGAACATCCCAATCCCCACTAAAATGGACTAAAATGGATGGTGCACCTACCCCAAAATGGTACCATTGGTTTTGACCCGCGGCCATATCTTCTTTTTTGGTGGTCGCGCGGTAGCCCCTTTTTTAAGGAAACCCCCACCCGGAAAACCGGTGCGCCGTGGGTCCGAATTTTCAGAGAGACACACCGAAGCCTCAGCCGAGTCCTTAAGGGTCTCGGCCAGGGACTTGAATGGATACGGCACCCCCACCTGCCATGCGAGAGAACGGCGCGGTTTCTCCCAAAGGACAGGGGAAAATGGAGTTGACTTATCCCCAGTTTTCAAATTCGTCCCTTTCTCGTTCTCCCCAAACTAACCTTAGACTGCCAATACTATGTCAACCCCTGTGCCTTCTTCTCAGTGACCAGGCCCCCCGAGATATGCGGCGGGAAGCCGGAGGTGTCGCCGATCCGAATTGAGTTCACCTGCAGTGAAATGTCGACCTCTGAATACACCACCGTTGTGTCGGAGTGGGCCAGTTGCGAACTCAATAACTCAAGATCTGAATATGAATCAATGATGTAGGGCGACTCCAGGCGTCTCAACTCCCCTTCCCATGTGCATCCCTCAGAGCTGGTAAACACAAGCTGGCGCAGCAGAATTTTTCGCGAGAAGCACAGGTTGAGTGGCAGAAACTTCGTGGGCAACAAGCGCTTGAGCGAGAAACCGGCAGGTCAAAAGGTCCGTCCGTTCCGTTTCGGGATTTAGAAAAAGACAATGGAACCCGTCTGACAGATCCAGCAACAGAACTGCGAGGACAAGAGCGGAGAAAACCTTGCGGACAACAACAAGTGTATGTAAGCTAACCAAACGGCACCACACAAGCAAGCGATAACTCTTTTATCCAAGCAATGTGTTGGTGCCAGGGACTCATCTTCCCCTGTCAGATGTCTACGGCTGGGTGGGCCATGGGCCACCCACCACAAACTCTCAAAAACTGAAGAACGGGTGTGCAGACTGATAGCGCCCGCCCCTGGGCCGGGGCCCGGGGCACCCAGGCCACAGGGGGGTCTGCCACCAGGGGAAGTGAGTCACCCACCGGCTCCGGTCACGGGAGCATGGGTGGGCCCACGCTAAGATCAAATGCATCTCCATTCAGGAGACGCGGGAGAAAAATGAACTCCTCGCAGAGTTCCTGTTTGGGGACCCTGTGCAAAGGGTCGAACCCAGAGAAATCTGGGTGCGTCAGCTCATCGGCCCACTGGTTGAATTCCCGGGGCACGTGGTTGGCCGCCAGCGAGCAGCCATGGGTGTGGAGCAGGAAGACCAGCTCCATCAGGATAGCCGCGGTGTAGGGCTTCTTGGATCCAAGGTTGAGCATCGCCATGACGTTGCCCTGATTGTCACTGCCCACCGGGAGTCGGACCCGGGAGGACAGAGGGCCTTGGTGCGTGAGGATCATGTTACAGAGGAAGAGCGTGCCCAGCATTTCCAGAGCCGCAATCCTCCGCTTGGGATCCCCATTCTTGAATGCCCACGGGTACTCCTCCACGTGGATCTGCTCGTGGAACCAGTACACCTCCTTCTTTTCCGGCTCCATTTTGTTGGCGCACCAGCCTCCCACAAATGCCAGTCCTTCATCCGAGGCGCTAGCATCGCTGCAACCCCACCAAGAGGACTTCGGCAAGTAAGGGGAGTACTGGACGAAGGGCGTGTTGAAGAGGAACCGCAGCATGAACGCCAGCATCCTGACCACCTTGGGGGGTTTCCCCACCGTGGTGGTGGCCATTTTCCAGGCCCACAGTGGCTGAAGCATCGACTTCGCCAGCGGACATGCAGCAGTTGCCCATTGGATGCGGCCCAGGGCCTTCTCGATGTCCTTTGAGTGCATCGCCTGCCCTTCCACCATGATCTGCAAGACCTCCATCACCAGGATGTGTTTGTTGGCGGCCATGAGAACCTGCGGGATGTTCGGGTGGACCACGAAGCCCAGCCACGTGTTGACCTCCGCCAAATGTGTCTTCTTCCAGCTAAGCGGGGTGCCCAAGGCCAGGAGTGTTGCCAACAGCGCCACCGCCAAGTTTACTGCCCCCTCGCTGCGAAGCAGCCACAGGAAGTCATCCACAAAGACGAAGTTCCAATCCACTTGAGGGAAAAGTGCGTAGAGGACCCTGAGTAGAAGGGCTGCCAGGCGTCCCCAGTAGGATTGGGCACTGGCCATGCCGTATGTGCCTACCTTGTTCACCCACCATTCTTCCCCCAGTGAGGCCACCTGGAACCGCCAGTCCTTCCTGAGGACCTGCACTCTCCGGTGGGCCTTGGTGACGTCCGCCTTGAGCAGCACCCACCTGGTGCCCGGCTCCGGCCATTGCCAGCCCTCGGGTGGAGGTTTAGCGAATTCTGAGAGGGAGGTCCCTCCTCAGCTGCCGCATGTAGCCAATGAAGAGCTTGTACCCCATCCAGCACCGTCGGAGCCGTCGTCCTTTCCACCGTCTGGTTCCTGATGGTGTCATTGGCCCCGCCCACCGAGCCATCGTAGATGGTGCGGATCTTGTCCCCTTCGTCAATGCCCGCTGGGGGGCCTGGGCAAAGATCCTCCATATTGCAGCCACAGCTCGCTGCTGCCTCCTTGGTGAGAGGGCCATCTACCATGCCCATGGGGACCTCCTCCAGGAATGTGCTACGGATGAGCTCACTGAAGTGATCCGCTGAGGGGTAGTTACCCCGGCCGTGGGATGAGGGAGTTCCTGGAACTCCGGCGAGGCTAGGGGTGGCAGCGCCAGGCTGTGCAAGATGTCCAGGAAGAAGGGTTGGCCTTCCGCTGGTCGGCCTGCCCCTGGCGCCAGGATCTCCCTGATATCTTCCAGCAGGTCCTCCGGGAAGGGGTGTGACCCGTCCCCCAACGAGAGCGACTCCTGGAGTTTGTCCCCCCATGGCAACATGAGGACACAGATCTTGGCCCCCATCGCTGCTGCTTTGGACAATGGCCGAGTCCACGGGGCCAGCCTCCTGCGTAGTTCGACCTCCCTGCCCGCCGGCTGTGTTGGTGTCCGGACCTCAGGATTGTCTGAGGCCGAGACCGGACGTGAGCCCAAGGTTAGTCCCGCCAACGCTTGTTGGCCGGCCTTCAGCCTCAGGGACTGGCGCTTGTTGTCCCCCGGCGTGCGAAGAGATGGTTCCCTCTGCCGCCTCGGGGGGGTCGTTGGGTTCACTTGGGGCACCGTGCCCCCCGGCCTCAGCGCCTCCAGGACCTGCAGAGGATGGCCGCTGCGAGACCCTGCATCATCTGCTCTGGGTACCGGCTGAGGTCACTGGAGTTGAGCTTTTCCCCTCTGGGGTGAGCTCCGTGGTTCATCGCAGATCATGCCAATGGTGAAGGGGAAGGTCCGTTGACAATGTCGTGGACTTCACTACCACCTGGCCCAGGCGGCACTCGTCAAACTTGATGAGGGAGTGGTGGAGTGCGTTCGCCCATTGAATGTAGGCCCGTGTGACACAGATCGATGAGCACCTCGCTGCGCTCGGGTCCAGGAAGGAGGAGCCCACCTGCGGGACCGTTCGTTGACCTAGTCCTTGGTAGGCCAGCGAGGTCAGGTACATCTGTCGGAGCATGAGCACGCTGTCGGTGTCCTCCCTTACCCGGGGCTCCAGGTCCTCCAAGCCCCACGCTCTGCCCTGCCCCTCACCGGAACGCCCCTTGCCGGGCGGATCCCCACCTCTTGGTCTCTCTGGGGGTTCTTCCCACTGCCTCGGGGGGTGCGGGGGAAAAGGGTGCTTCCGCCCTTCTGGAGTGCCCTGGCTGGATCCACTCCCTTTCTTCGGTGAAAGGGCTTCCGGGGCCGGTGGCACCCTGGAGAAGTCCCCTCCCACCTGCGGCCGTCCTGGCCTCCCCAACTCTGTCTGCCTTCCGCTGGCTCTCCCCCGCTGTGTGCGCTCTCGCACTGGTGGCCTGTGATCCCTTCGGAGACCAGACAGCCATGGGGCCCATGGCACCCTGAGTGGCCTCCTGTCACTTGGGGAAGTGTGGGCATGCCTGTGGCACATGCTTCGCTGGGGGGGCATCACACACCCACCCATCCTTCCTGACCGGGCAGTTGTGGGATCGGCCGCATGATCCAGGGCATTTGTTGTGAAGGTGATGATCCCTGCAGTACGCCACCCCTTTGGGATTCTTGAAAGCCCAGTGGTCTGGCCATGGGGTCGAGGGGGGGACTTCCCTTTGCCGCCCTTGCCCTTCGGCTTGGAATGGGTAGGCCCCGAGGACCAAGATCCTTTTCCCCCCTTCTTGGGCTTCTCCCACTGAGTCTGCCACACCTTGGGTGCCTTGCTCTTGCTCTTCCCCTTCGTCGGCGGTGTGTTGAGGTGCTCATAGCTCCCGTTGCCAGAAGAGGAAGTCGCCCCTGATGTTCTTGAGGGCTTCGGAGAGAGTGGTGCCCTGGTGCACCATTTCGTGAATCTTGCGCCATGCATTGCGCTCTGCAAACAGCAAGGTGGTGTCGCTCGGGGGAGGTTTCCTGCCGGCTATGTCCTCCCCATAGAACCAGGCATACCAGTCATCCAACTCCTCCTTGGTGACCCTCAGGTTGCCAAATTGCGGCAGTGCTGCCGTGCACATCAGGAGCGTCGTCCTGAAGGTTAGGTGCAATCGTTCCAGCTGGCGCCAAGATGTAGGGTGGCTCCTCACCTCTTCTTCATCCTCCCTGTCCCAGCCGTCCACCGTGATCTTCTTGTGGGTGGATGAAGGGCGTTCCCCTTCTTCCGGGAGCGCGCTCACGATGTGTTTTGCCGGGATGTAGCATCATGCGCCATTGCTTCTTGAGGTAGCCATCACTACCCTGGAATTCCAACCTCGGCTTCGGGGCCCCATGCGTGGCCACGTAAGCATCTTCCAGCTGGCGCCTGTCACACAGGACTTCTAAGGGAGCCTTTGTCGGGCCCGCATGGCCCGCCGGGTGGTCACCCTGGTTGCCCCCCCTGACCAAGTTTGCTGCCACCCGTACTGCCTGAAGGAGGCGCATTGCCGTGAAGCCAAGGTCTGGGCGTTGAATCCATTCTCTCCATCCTGGAATCCCAGGTCCCGGGGACCGTTGTCCCTGGCCGCAGCCGGGGTGTTCCAGCGATCCGCCAGGTCTTCCACCGTGACGTAGCCCGATGCGCCCAGTGCCGCTTGGATGACCCAGGAGATTTCCTTGCCCACCAGGATGGCCGCCAGTGGCTTCTGCAACTTTGCCACGTCTTCCTTGATCGCGGCTGGGACCTCCTCCGGTGGTTTGGCGGGCGTCGCAGCCATGACCTCTTACCTTGGTGTGGGTGGGTGGGTTTTCAATCAGCTTGGGTTCCAGGAACCCAGAGCAATGCTTGAGCCAAAATGGCACATGCCATTATGGTCAAGCATTCCACACACAGTTCATGTTTCCACATGCGTTTCAACATTAACAAAGTGTATGTAAGCTAACCAAACGGCACCACACAAGCAAGCGATAACTCTTTTATCCAAGCAATGTGTTGGTGCCAGGGACTCATCTTCCCCTGTCAGATGTCTACGGCTGGGTGGGCCCCATGGGCCACCCACCACAAACTCTCAAAAACTGAAGAACGGGTGTGCAGACTGATAGCGCCATTTCCGAAGGACAGTCTGGCACACCCGCCATTTCCGAAGGATGCCAGTCTGTGCTGAGGGCCCTGGCCAGAGCCCTGTCCTTGGCCTCCCCCTTAGGTCGTCAGGGCCGGGGGCACCTAGGCTTCCAAAGGTAGGGCCACCACCTCGGTCTCCGACTGGGTGTCTACCAAGTCATCCGTTTCAGAGCCCGAGTCCGCCGAGGAGTCCGAGTCCTCCTGCAGTGTGGGGACCTCCGCAGGCTCCAGTACCCAGTCCGCCGGGAAGCCATACCTCTTGAAGCAACGTTCGCACTTGCCATAGGCCTCTGGCTCCGACATGTAGTCCAGCACGGAGAGCTCCTGGATCTTGGAGGCCGTCGGTCGCCACCCGCACCCCACAGCCGTGCCTTCGTCATTCAGCAGGTGGATTCTGGCCTGGCCGGCGTTGCCTGTGCGTTTGACCGCCGCAACAACACGAAGGGGGAAGTCCGGGGTGGTGGGAAACAGGTCTTCACTGGTGTGTCCTCGGGTCCCTGTTCCACCAATGACCATGAGCGAGTCGATGGTGCGCTCCCTGAGGGTTCCGTGGGGGACGCCTCCCCTTCCCCTTCGGTTTGGTCCTTGTGGCCGTCCGGTCCCGCATCCGTGATTTCCACTGCTGGCGGCGGGAGCGGGTCCGCCCAGTCCGGGTGGTTCAAGTCCTCCCTGCGTTCCCTGCCTGGCCCGAGGTTCAGGTTGGGGACCTTCTGCGCTACCTGGCCCCAAATCTCCACAACGACATTGCGCTTCTCCCGCACATAGACGTCTGCTGTGCTCTCTGTGAGCCAGTTGCCTAAGTACATGCGGCGCTCCCGGGGGAGCCCCATCTGGAAAGCGCAGTCCGGGATGAACACTCGGAATGAGTGCCACGTCAGCGGCTTCACCAACCCCAGGGTCACTCCCCGACGGAGAAGAGCATCCTTGAGCCATCTCAGAGCCCTTAATCTCGGGATCAGCCCGGCGAAGTCTTTGCTCACTGTCGGGAGCAAGTAGTCCATGTCCTGGAATGCCTTCTCGGATACCAGTCGCCGGACCGTGGCCACCCAGGTAGTCCACCAGGGGATCCCCGTGAAGCTGTACTTCGGAGCAATCAAGGGGACCGGGTTGCGGTTGATTCGCTGCTGAGACCGTCTTGGTCTGCCAGGCCTTCTTACTGGTGTGGATCAGGTCCTTAGGGTGAACATGCTGGAGGTCATTGAAACGAGCGCTGCACCCTACTTGGAACCGGGCGAAACCCAGGATGAATGCGTCCAGTACCTCGTGTCTGCTCCTCCCCGGGCCAGCCCCTTCCTCCAGAGCCCATATGACCTCTTTGCTGGGGACCACCGCCCTTGCGCTGCGGCCGGGTGACCGTGTCCGTGAGTGCCTCTTCCAACGAGCTCTTCTTGGACTTGAGGCGATGGAGCTCGTCTATCTTCAGCATACCGAAGGTCTTGGAATACCATTTGAGGGTGTTCCACACCTGCCGTAGCTTGTACGGGGTGACCTCCTCTTCGGCGAGCTGGTTGAGGAGAGAGCGGACATGTCGTTCCTGCCAGGGAATCACCGTGTCTCTTCCGGAGACTCTCGTAGACCAGGCAATGCTGCCTGAGTGTCCGGAACCTATTGTCCCCAGGAGGTCCAATGCCTCCTTGCGGAAGTCCTCCCCCAGGATGTCCTGCATGTACGTGATGTGCTCCGCAAACGGGGCAAAGTGGGCGAGGAGCCGTTCCGCCCATTTCCCGCGCATATGGAGTTCCAGCGCTCGCTGGGTCGTGGGCTCCATTTCCCTTATTTTGCCCGGGCGCCAGTGCCTCCACTTCAGAAGCTCCGGTTGTTGGAGTGGGGGTGGGTCATCTCGTGAGAACCACCTCAATTGGTCCTGGCGGTCCCATTCATTCTCCAGCGGGGTCCTCGCATCCGCCGTCGCCAGGAGGAGGAACCATAGGCTGTCCCACAGGTCGGCCAGGTCCGCCGCGGACAGAGGCTGGGGATGCCGCCGACGCCACCAGGCCGTTGAAGTAGTCCGTCGGGACCACGTGGGCGTCTTGTCCTACCGGAATGCCCGAGAGTTCCAGGAGCTGAGAGAAGCGGATTGCCGGCTCTCCGCCCAGCTTCCTCCCCTCCTCCTCAGTGCCTTGGCGCAGGCACATCAGGACCAACAGCTCCCCGTCCGTCTGTCTCGGGGAGAAGGACTCATCCGCCAACGTGTCCCATAGGACCCTTGGAATGCGGTCCCAAAGACGTGTGTAGGGCGGGCGCATAAGAAACTTGGTAGATACCCTAGCCATGATGAAAAAGGGGGTTTTGAGCCTCCTATCGAACCGCCGGGACCCAACCGCGGCACAATGCATGCATGCTCCAACCTTGCAGAATGCAGAGTGCAGATGGAGCAGGCAGGCCACACGCATCCCGACAAGTCCCCCCCAAAGTCCCGAGATTTTAACCGGGAAGGGGGGAGCGCGACCCAAAATCAACCCCCCAGAAACCCCCGGGGGGAGACCGACCAGGCGGGGGATTCCCCAAAACCCCAAGGGGACCTCAAGGAAACCAAGAGTCGGCCGCAGCCACTTTTTCCGAACCGTGGCTGAGATGGCCCGTCCTTGGGGCAGCTAATGCATGTGGCCTCATGGTCGAGGAGATCAAGCTGCCGTGACGTGGCTCCACTGCCATGCAACCAGAAGAACCCACGCGCGCCACCAGAATGGAATAAGAGAGGAAACAGTGGTGAAAACCGAACCCAATAAGGAAAACCCTTTCCCCCTCCTTTTGCGGAGACGGGGCCAAAGGCACCAGGAAGAAATCACACGACTCCCACATCCGACAGGGTTGTGAGACAAAACCTAGCGGCTCCCTCCCTTCAGGATCGCCTCCTTCGCCACCGAGTGGATTGCCGCCAGCCCCGACTTCTCCGGGTTGCCCTCCAAGATGAGCAGGTTGTAGGTGATGCCGTCCGCCTCATAGGTGGCCGAGGGTGCCTGGAAGGGGGCGAACTCCTTGCCGGGGCAGACCCAGCACTGCTTGGCTGCCTCTGGCCACCCCGTTCCGCATGCCTTGCACATGGCCTGCCTCTGGAACTGCGAAGCCCAGACCTCCTCCTGGCGGAGCTGGATCTTCATCGGGACGTACGCCTCCAAGATGCGGATCACCAGGTCCTCCGTGAGGTTCTTCCCAACAAACTTGTGAAACAGGGAGACCGCCTCCTCCACCCTGATGTCTCTCAGCAGGGTGGCCCCACCAGCCTGAAGTACCCGGGTTTTCCGTCCACCGGCACCAAGGTGACAGGTTTGTTGGCCTGAGACGCAGCCTTCTGAGAAGCCGCCACGAAGCCCTTCAGTCTCTTCGTGGGTGGCGTCTGCGCCTCCTCCGGTGGTGTGGCCCGCTCCGTGCCGTCCGCATCCCCCATGTCCTTGTCGCCCTCCTCGGCGGGGCCAGGGGCACCCAAGCCGGGAGTCGGTGTGGCAAATGCCACTCGGAGACGCTCCAGTGCACTGGCGAGGTCCTTCATCACATCGGTCGCCGAAGCTGACGGGGGGGCCTCGGGCTCGTCCAAAACCAAGCCGGCCGCCACTGCCGCCTCCCGTGTGCGAATGTCCTGGGCCTCCTGGCTGGCCACTTCAACCTCCTCCACGGTGACTGTCTGGTCCTCAATCAACTCAAAGGAAGTTGCCGAGGTTGCCGAGGAAGCCATTGCTTGGTCGGGGTTAAGTTCGAAAATGCAAAAGATCAAAGTTTTTCAATCAGCTTGGGTTCCAGGAACCCAGAACAATGCTTGAGCCAAAATGGCACATGCCATTGTGGTCAAGCATTCCACACACAGTTCATGTTTCCACATGCGTTTCAACATTAACAAAAAAGCCGGAGAGTGGAAAGAATCAAGAGAAGCAAAAAGTGTTTTGCAAGCCTTGTACCCCAGACGAAGAGAAGGTGGGCAGCGGGTTGGGGGGGGCGTTCTTTGCAAAGATTGGCTCCAGGTCACACATTGTCCAGCGGAAGTTGGCGGGGAGCTGTTGTCCAGAAGGTGTGCACAGCCCATCCCCCCTTGCCCCCTTCTTCAACATTTTGGTGCGGCTCCGATCCGAAAAACCAACCAGTCATGGATGATTCCTTCCATGTGGGGCCTCTCGCTTCCCTCCAAAACGCCCATGGCTCTCCGCGAAAAGGTCGAAAGTCCAAATCCCGGAGACCAAACTTGTCAGCAGGGAATGAGTTGGAATGACCCCAAGAAAAACCATCCAACCGATGTGGCTTCCCTTATTCGGGAATCCCAACCCGGATCACTCAGCCAACACTCGTCGTCATTCCCTACCCATATCGCGGCAACAAGAAAACACCCTGAGGATTTCTTCAAGTAAAGGTTGATCAAAAGCTCCGTAAAACATGGGGTGACCATTAGAAGAAAAAACAAACAAACAAACAAACAAACACAACATAAGAAAAAGTGAGCCATGGTCATCTTGCCAGGAATTTCTTCTGGGCTCTTTGGGGAAGCTGAAGCTGGGCCCTCATCTTGAGGCCCTCTGGGCCCTGCCGCGCCACTGGGCCCCGCGCTGGGTCGCTGGGCTTGGAACTGATCTTCCAGGCCGTCACCTTCTCCCCACAGGGCGACACCTCCTGGCGAAAGAAAGAACAAGGGGAAGAAAAAAAGCGCGAACCATGACGTCCTCTTGGGGTAAGCCTTTGCCAGAGCTATTTGGGACAACAGATCGAGGTGTACTTCTTTTTGGAAAACTACTACGAAAAGGTACCCTGAAAGAGAGAGAGGGAGAGAGAGAGAGAGAGAGAGAGAGAGAGAGAGAGAGAGAGAGAGACACACGCAAAAACACACACACTTAAACTCCAGATGGAGGGTGCTAATCCTTTCGAGTACAACTGGTCAATCTCGGCTTGGATAAGGTTCTTCATGAATAAGTTTCGGCTCACAGTCACTTGGCTTCCGTCTAGCAGCGAAAACGTCCCTCAGTCATGCCGCACTCCCCTGCGGTAAAAGAGAAAGCCTGATGTTGGTGACAGGGTATTCTGCCACTCCGCACACACACGCCCTCAGTGAGGGGCGAGAAGTCTCTTTTTCAGCAGGAAGATCACATACTCAACTTCGTATCTCTATCGTTTGCCAAAATATCCACCGCGGCGAGGGGAACGCGAAACTGCCCTAAGCCGCTCAGAAGACGGGAACGAACGATCACCACGATGAGCATTACGGGTGTCGCCATAGAAGACTGGAGGGAGTTGCAAAGCAGTCGAGCGATCACCGTCAGAAATAGGGGGGGCATAGGTGAACATTTCCTCGACGCGGATTGTGTCCGAATTCTGCACGTCAACAAGTGATTGATCATGGGCTTGATGTGTGGAGAAGGACTCAAAGCGAGAAAGAATGCGTTGGTATCCTTGATGCTGCCAGTCGCGAATTGTCCACGCCTGACTGTGTTCACCAGTCCCACCAATGGGATCAGTTACCCGCTTCCACTCCCGAAACGAGTTGTCTGGTAGGTCAGGTACGGTTTCTTCTGGTTGCCACAGCTGAGGTTGTCCCGGAGTATAGATCCGCACCCACTCCTGATCCTGCCAGACCGAATATTCGAGCCATGGGTACTGCTTTGCATCCTCGATGTCCATGCCGAAGTGAGAGACAGGGCGTACCGCGGGTTCCGATCCAGCTAGCAAAGAAACAGTCACCATGTACAACCATGCACAATCAGCAACCACACAAGAAAGCACGAGCATGAGAAAGCACCCTTTTGTGCCATGCACAACACGCATCAGTCTATTCATCATTTAGCTCGAAGATAGGCTTCTCCTTGGCGGTGGAGCTGCATGGTTGGGTCGTAGGCAGATATGGATCAGAGACCCCAATAGACTCCGGTGGTGCAACTCCACGAGATGCACGTACTGGTTGGTGTTGTTGGGATGCATGACGCGCGCGATCCGACAGTTGCTGAGAGATCCCATCTTGAAGACGAGTGAGATCCTCAGTGGAGAAAGCCGCCGCATCCGATGATCTAAGAATCGCATTCAACATTTGCGGTGACATACACAAAGCCGATGATTGCGTGGCCACGCTATGTTGATCAGGAAAAGACATCGAATCGAAGTCGTGACCAGCTTGAGGGGCAGCGACTCGCCGGTAGCCCTCTGTGGCCCAGTCCCTTTTGTACCAAATGCGTTGTTGGGCTGCGCGCCTTCTTGATCAGGATTTGGGACATAGAACTCCTTCCACTCTCTGTATGTATGAGGCGGAGGCGGATCATCACGTTCGTCCTGTGGAGTCCATGATCCCGGGTGAAAAATCTTGACCCACTGGGCATCTGGCTGTTGAGGATCCGGACACCACTCCAGCCACGGCATGACAACTCAAACCCTTGATGACAAATCGAGAGGTGTACGGCTGCAGACTACAAGCACTACATGTGACACAACAGCAAACATGCAAGCAAACACTTTTGTAGCAAGGCGCGGCTCAGGTGTCGAAGTCACTCGCCCCAATCAAATTGAATATCCTGGAAAGACGAGGACGAACATCAGCCACCATCCGAGTTCGAGGATGCCGACGAAGAGGACAGTCCAGCGTACATGAGGTCTGGTGATCCCGAAGCGAAAACTGGACGTGCAATGTTGGGGCGCGGATGGCCGAGCCGTTGATATCCTCTGGTGACCCAGTCACGATACTGCCATGTGTAAAAGGATGCATATGAGACCGGCTGGGAAACAGAGCCCATATTGGTGCCTCCCGTGCTGTCACTAGGCCAATACACGTCGAAGTGGTAGAATTTGCGCCATTCCCGATAGGTGGTTGTGTCATCCGGGGCCGGTCCCAAGGTGGATTCGGCGACTGGTTGCCACGGACCAGGTACATAGACCCGAATCCATTCAACGCTTGTGCTCGCAGGGCCATTGACGATGTCGTACTCAAAGTAGCGTGGTAGGGTCCATCTTGCAGTGCCACATATTGTAGAATTGAACATACCAACCAGAGAAGCCGCTTTGAGGCAAAAGGGAGCGGCGAAAACATGGAGAAGGAAAGCACAACACAAGTCAAGACAACCCAAGTTGATGCAGCAATCAAATCAGGCACAATCGCATCGTTTTAACCGACATGTTGCTCAAGCATCAATCCGATTCGTTCCAAGGATCATAGAATGGTGGGGGAGAAGGTTCCCGCCACGCCCCATCCGGAACTGAAGACTCCGACGAGGAAGTAACTTCTTCATTCACAAGCTCCGCCGATCCAATGGCTGGTAGTGGAATGCCAAGGCGTTGATAACCTCGTGTGTTCCAGTCTCGGTACTCCCACACGTGGTATGACACATACGATATGGGCATGACATTGGGGTCCGCAGCTGTTCCCCCGGTGCTGTCTGCGGGCAAGTACACGTCAAAGTGATATGACTTGCGCCACTCCCGATACGTGGAAGCGTAGTCCGGGGCACGTCCCAGAGTAGCTGCGGCCACAGGTTGCCACGGGCCCGGTGTGTAAATTCGAATCCACTCCACTCCTCTCTCGATGTGGTACTCAAAATAGTGCGGGTACATGACAGCAAAATGGGTCGTCACAGGGCCGTTGAAAGAAATCGCAAAGCCACTGGATCTGCGGCGAAACACTCATGCCATGACAACCCTGACGCAATGGGAATGTGTTGAGCAACGCAATGCAAGGCAACTTTTCAAACTGAAGGCGGGACGAATCCACAAGGTCTATAGTATACGACAACTATGCTTCACCGCCGCTGATGCCGCACACACCTGCAATGGTAATGTCCTGGTCGGCGACGAGCACAGGGAGAAAGACACTTCCGCCCATGATGTAGAAAAGCATGACAGTAATGCTTGCAACTTGTCGATGAAGACAGTGATGGACGGGTGGCTCGTTTTGAAGGGAACACGGTGAAGGGTCGCCGAGATCTCCGCATGGCAGAAGCGGATGTTGTTCGAGAGCGTTTCGGAGAACGCGTGAGACTGCGTAGATCATCATCACGGAACTGGTCAGCGCTGCGTATCGAGCGGCGTGTGCGCTGCGATTTCATGGTGGCCGGGCATGACTGTCCTCGAGGAGAGGGGCTCGAGGAGGCACGCAATGAGGGCATAAACTGTGGGTGTAGAATCACCGGTGGTGGTGGCGGTGGAGGAGGTGGAGGTGGAAGAAGTATTGGAAACCGTGGCGGGGTCGGAGGTGAAGCAGTCAATCGAACTGGTCTGTCAAGCAATGTACCAGGCCCGTGAAACTGTAACCACGTCGGCTGCGCTCCATGGGTCCAAGTGATGTATGTCTGCACATCTTGCTCCAACATGATTTGAGCAGCTCAGCCATGCATGAAATCCAAGTCATCAACAACTTCCATGACAACCAACAATGCCCTCACTGTCAGAAATGTCATGAAGGTCCTTCAAGTCTTTACTGCAAAGTATGCCAGCCATGTCATGCAAGCAAGCGAGAAAAGAATCATGCGATCTACCATGTCTGCAATTCAAACCATCTCGACAACTTGCAACGCTCACGGAATGCACTGCCACCCTCCGGTAGTCTTTCGTTCTTTCGATGCAAAGTGCCCTAAGCGCGAGCCTCAAGCTGCTGGTAGACCTTCCAGGCTTGCTTGACTTCCTCTGTGGGCTTCTGAAGGAAACGGGCAATGGTTTTGTAGGTGGGCCTGGAATCCTTGTCCTTTTTCCGTCTGACCATCTCATCCAGCTCACCCTGTGTCCATGCCGTGAACGGTTCAAGATGTGCATTGCGAAGGGCAATAGTGAATTCTTGTAAAAGTTCCCGAGATCCATGAACCACAGTGGGAGATGGACGGAACGATGAAGCACCTGGATGTGGACGAACTGAACCATCCGAATCCGAATCAGGTGTGGTAGGCGATGTCTGTCCTGGTTCACGACCGCTGCAAGGGGGTAGGGGAGCAAGAGGTCTTGGCGGTGGTAACCGATCCAACATTGTCTCCGGACGGCGACCAGAAGTGCTGTCAGTGGCATCCCGATGTGCCGCACGAGGCGGGGATAGGGCAGGTATATACCAGGTGGAGGAAGTATCCACAGGCCGGGTTCGGATTCGAGTAGGAGTGCGAGATCGATCGGACGAGATGCGCTCTGCGATGATGCGAGGGCGCAGTCCATGCCTGTAATTCCGTGGGGCCCCGGGGGACACTCGGGTGTCGGACTGCTGGTTTCGCTCGGTCGCCAGGGCAAAGTTCAGGGTGTCCAGGGCAGTCGCTACTTGTGATGCGAGGACATTGAGTACCGCCACCAGGTTGTTCACGAACTCCACTGACAACTGCATGGCAAATGAAATCACTGCAAGGACAATCCAAGCAAGAAAGGCTGGGGCGCAGCATAAAACTCATGTTAGCAAGACTGGTGTACATCGGTGTGCTGAGGACCTTTTGCCACTGGTAGTCCGTCAACGGTCATATGAAAGACCAGATGGTCGGCACGCCGGCATGGCCTTGACTATCGGTGGGGGCTTTGGCATGAAAGTGCGATGGTTAGACGTGGAACCAGTGTTGGCAGGGCGGCCAAGAGGACGCCTGTGGTGACTGCGGCTGCGTGACCGACGCCGATGAGGGTCCCGGTGTCGGGATCTTCTTCTCCGCCTGCGTTCTCGGGAAGTGCTGACACTC